GTTTTTTAAGGGGGTACAAAAATACCTTTAATGCCTTTTGTAAAAATATTGTGTACGCATTTCTGTTTTTGTAGGCATTAGTTGATGAGTGACTTTATCTTTAATTGGAGTTTTTAATTTATCACATAATAGCACATATATTTTAATAATAATAATCGACACTGTGGCTGGGCACTGTCCTTTCTATATATATCCTATTTTCTAAGAGCTTATGTTATATTTATTTATTGTTAATAATTGAGTTTAAGAAATATATATACACATATAGTTTAAGAAGTATACATATTTATAATATATATAAAGCTATATATATTAGCATTAATAAGGAAACAAGTATATTTTGAAGTCAATATGGACTGAAGCCATCACAGGCAACAATGAGCCCAGTGTTTGTGACAGTCGAGGAAAATGGTCTTAGAGTTTAAGAATATCTGTGAAGAGTGGAGTTAGATGGTTAAGATTTGAATAGACTGTAGATAGATTATGGAGGACTTTAATAACAAATTCACAATCTTAGATTTAATCTAGTAGGAATTACACATTCTTATAATATATATGTATATATAAAATTGCATATTCTTAATTGAAAAAAGTGAAATGAAGCTCTGTTTTAGGAATATTGATCTTAAAATACCCTTAATGTTTAGTGAATACTTTTTTTTTAGAATGTATGATACGCAAGTGCTATATACTAAATGTATTCTCTTCCCCAATTCATACATTGAAATCCTTCTCCTAAAGTGATAGTATTAGGAAGTAGGGCCTTTTGGAGATGATAAGGCCATGGGGACGGAGCCCTCATGAATGGGATTGGTGCTGCTATAAGAGACCCCGGGGTGGGGAGCTTCCTTGCCTCTTCTGTCTGTGAGGACACAGCAAGAAGGCCGCTGTCTTTGAACAAGAAAGTATGCCCTCACCAGACAGGGAATCTGTACCCTGCCTTGATCTTGGACTTCCCAGCCTCCAGAAATGGGGGAAAGAAATGTTTAAATCACCTAAACTATGGTATTTTGTTATAGCAACCCGAAGGGGCTAAGACAACAAGTAAAATACAGTAATTCCTTGAACTATTTAAAAATAATGGTGACAATCAGGAAAATATCATTTACAAAATCTCCCTCCTCCAGTGATTAAAAAAAACAGAAATAGTAAATCAAGCCAACAAAATTACTGACAACAGCCAATGTAGGTAAGAGACCCAACTTCATGTGTAAATTCCACAAGTAACAGTCAAGAAAAAAAACAGATGATGACCTGGCTCCTTATGTCTTTTAAACCCCATCTACGGAGCCTCAAGACATTGTTCTATGGCAAACGATGATTTATTAAGTCCAGATCATTCTTATATTTTTAATTTAGAGAGAAGCAGATTGAGGGGCTGAAATGAAGGTCAGGGAAAAGTCAGACAAGATTCCTCAGTTCTCTGTGGAGGGGAAATCTATCAGTGCCTACCATTTTTAACTCTCCAATTGGTCAAACAAAACTAAAAACAATTAGAAAACTCTATAATTCATAAAATTCATAATATAAAATGATTCACATTCAAGTCAGATTTTAAAAATCTGAAAGAAACCTCAAGTCTATTTCTATCCCCCGAAATATTCTAATACCTTTTGGTTCTATAGAAGAGCTCAGTAAAAATCTGAATTCAAGAAGATTAAAAACTCAAGACGGCATTGCGAAGAATTAATAGAGTGTTTGAATAACTAAGGAAACAAAATTCAGACTAGAGCAACCCTATTATAGAACTAAGTAGTACGTTAGAAATAGAATACATCGAGTCAGGTTATTACCGTAGGGTGAAACTTGAGATAATTACAGTGTATTCCAAGTAAAAATTAAATAATAAAGAGAATAGATGTGAATGATGATAAAGGCATCTAACATATGGATAATGTGTACAAATTAGTAGTTACAAAATAGTCATGGGGATGTAAAGTATAACATAAGGAATATAGTCAATAATATTGTAATAACTAAGTATGATGTCAGATGGGTACTAGATTTATTGGGATGATCACTTTGTAAGTTATATAAATGTCTCATCACTATGTTGTACACCTGAAACATACAATATTGAATACCAACTGTAATCGAAAAATAAAATTATTGTCTACAACCGTGCTACCCTGAACAATCCCAATCCCATCTGATCTCGGAAGCTAAGCAGGATTGGGCCTGGTTAATACTTGGATGGGCGACCATGTAGAAAGATCAGGTGCTGTAGGAGTAAAAAGTAATTTAAAAAAAAATAAAGGATTGCAAGCTGACAAGGTCCTTGCAATATACGAGGTCAATCAAGAGTTGCCTCGTTTAAAAAATAAGAAAAAATAAATAAATAAAATTATTAACATAGTAAAAAAAAAGTGTTGAGGCTTTGTTAAAAAAACAAAAACTTCTTATGGATCAAGTTTATCAAATAAAGACTTAATTAAAATGAAGAATTTAGAAAAGGAGAGATTTTAACAAATTAATTTCCTTGAATGCAGATAGATTATGTCTAAATTGTATAGATTTTGTGTATAGAATAGGATATGAATCTAATAAACCTTGTCAAGGTAAAAATAATATGATTGACCAAAACAAGGCTGTGGGTGGAAGTTAAAATGTGCTGTTACTTTCTCTCTTGTAGAAGGAAGTAAATATGGACTTATAAATAAAATTAATTGATATTAAAAGTCCAGTCTTAACTCTATCCATGATATTTCTTCTTAACATTTAGAAACTATCTAAACTGACTGCTAGTGAAGAATTATCTGACATTTAATAGCACTTTTGGTTTTACTATATATGTATATATTTTCTAACATTAAATAATTAAAAATAACATGCGTATTCCGATCCCATTTTAATAGAATATATGAATGCTTTTGTTCCTTCATCTCTTTTTTTCCACCAGCTTACTGAATATTTTATTATTAATAGAGAATTGTTGAAATGATACTTATTCAATGTTTAGGGTAATTATTTCTGGGTAGTGGTATTTTTGGATGACTTTTTTTTTTTTGCCTTTTTAAAAAGCTTTTCCATATATATTTTATTTTAAGAACATATACCTTTTTTCATTGAAAGACCTTTTTAAAAAAAAAATTGGTAAGCTTAAAAAATTTATTTATCAAGCATTTGACAGTGGTAAAAACAAACATGAATGTTTCTGTCCCCAAGTATCTCATACCCTGTTCTCAAGAATTTTATCAATTTTAAAACTTAAAAAACTAAATCACAATATTCTTCATGTTCTCATCCTAGATCTTACTTATGTACATGTAAAAGAAAATTATAAAGTAATTTTTTTTTTGAATTCAGATTTCATTTACAGTTGTTGAAGTCAAGATCTGATGATGTGGTTGCCTTATTTCACATTTCATCAAGTCACAAACTTGGCAGGATCTGAGGATTATACCCTACTTGTATGCAAAAATGCATGTCAGTATCATAAATATTTGCAAAAGACATGAAACTTCAGGGTCAGAAAAAAGACAGTTTATTACAACAGTAGCAGTAAGGAGAATAATAGTATAGCACTGATTTTCTGAATTGCAGGTCCCACCAGAAAATGCAGTTAGGACTGGGTGTTGCCAGGCAGTGGGTTGCATCAAAGAAGAATCTTGGTATCGGGAAGTGCTGGTCTGATAGAGGGAGCTGCTGGCAAACCAGTCCATCCTCCTCTTAATGAGAGAGATTGTCTTTACTGCCCTGGAACGCTAAGCAAATCTGCTCCAGGGAGAGAGATTTCTCTCTCTTTACTTTCTGAAACATAAGCAAATTTACTCCAGGAAGAAGTGTATCTTTCTTTGCAAGTCTGCATGCTATGGACATCCAATCTGGAGTAAATTAGCTATTAATGCCTTTTAAAATGTTTGGATATATGAGAAACCCCTAAAAATTTGTCTCTCTGTAATATCTAGAAGATGTGACTCCTCGAACAAACTTCATGCTGCATAAGGAAATTGATTTCTTGTCTATTTCATTGTCAGCACGTGGCTGATGACTATGGAAGTTCTTATTTGCTTTTGTTTTTTATTAAATGTTCTCTCTGAATTTTGTACTCAATAAGAACTATAAACCAAAATAAAATTTTTGAAATTTATGAGTCGACCAATTCCTATACTAAAGCTAAGACCTCAAAACCTTTACTTTTCTCAGATATTTTGTCAAAATCCTGTAGAACTAAAGCTGAATTCTATTGAATAGGTGATACTGTTAGAGTTATAGAGTATGATGCTTTACTAAGGAATATGCATTGTATTTTAAAACTATAAATTTTAAGGCATTCTAAATATAATGCTGTTATTAACCACTGAAATGTGACTTCCTATGGAATTGTTATAGCAGAAATATCATTAAAACAAATCCCTTGTTTAGTAATTAAGTCATTCTTATTATTGTAATAGAAAAAATAGAAATTAATTAGCATATTGAAATATATGGAATAAAAATCTTATTAGTACATTTTTGTAATATATGTACCATTCCTTCTAAATCTAGTCTGGGACTACCTCTAGTAATAATCTCATCATCTCTTCTTTTATCTTATAATTATTGCCTCAGTTCAACTCTTTTCTCTATCACCGTATTATTATAATTTATTATTGCTTTCCTTGCTTCTAGTCATTCCAGGTTTTGTCAGACCTATTCTTTGTGACTAGTAATTTAACATGCTTCCAGAACCCTCCAACAATCCCTGTCTAATCAACTTTTTTATTTTATTCCAAACATTCTCTGTAATACATTCTTTGTATATATATTTTTTTCTTATCTGAGACAATTACCTAATATCCATGTTTGCTAAAATAATAAACATTATTCATGGACTGGTTCAAATGTCTTTTTCTTGGTAGCCAAATAAATTTAAGCCTCAATTATTTTGTTTTCATATATGTCCCTTAGCTTTATGTGCCTGTAGCAATTTTGTCCTCATTTGTAACAAAGTTGTTTATGTTCATGTTTGGTCTTTCTAATTTGTAAACTCTTTTTTCCCCCCTATTTTTTTCCTCTAGCATGTAAAAGTCACATCTGGGTCTCTTTGTCATCCTGGCAGAGACCTTCAGCAAATCATCTTAGAGCAATGCTACAATTTTGTTTGTGTAAATGTAAGTAAATATAAATGATTAAAAGCCCTTGGGGATCTGTATAAGTATAATGTGGAAAATAATTTATTTTTCTTGATTCTTAAATATTTGAATTTAAGATTTTGGTAAATGAGTTGGTTATTTAATATGTATTTGGAAATTTTATATTTTATCTTTTGAAATAGGGAAATAACATTTTCTAACAAGCTAATTCCCATAATGAAAAGACAATGATATTTCTTTAGACGATATTTTGTTTTCTATCTTGTACTTGGTGTAAAGCAAGTAAGATGACATATTAATAAATTAATAAGTAGTTCAAATTCTAATAGGTATAAACTATGGTTATCTTTTAAAAATGTTTTAAAAATTGAGCATGATAAATATTTTAAATGATTATGTTAAAGTTCTCCATTTTTCTCCTTGAATTAACTTTTAAATCATTTAAGAACCTCTTTTCACTTTTATTTTTCTGATCTTTTAGGTTAAGACCTCTGAATTTGAAGAAACCCAGAAATTACTGGATGTGCTTAAAGAGAGTAATATTTCCATTTTGTATCCTGTTGTTGTTATTTCAGTAAGTGAATTATGCAGATTTTTCTCTTTAAACTATGCTTTCTTTTTTGGAATTCAAGTGTTCTATTTAACAAAATGTCATCAAACTGAGGAAATCCATCTATACCCAAAAGAAGAAACTCTTCATTGCAGATTCTTGAGTTTACTCTCTTGCTGTGACTTCTATAACTGCTTGCCCTTATTACTGCAATTGTTTGGTTGAAGTGACAGGTTTAGAAAACAATTTAAATCAACCTCTAGCGACCAATTTCATTTCTTTTACGACATTAAAATCACAAAACATGTTGCTGAGTAGACTAGTTTTTTGGATAATTTGAAAGATTTATTTAGCATATTATCAGGAGGCCATTAGAAAAGAAACCCTGAAATTAAAAAATAAGAGGAGAAAATGAGAAGAAAGAAAATTTACTCTTAGGTCATTTTATCTTTTCTGTTTTTTGGACAGCAAAAGTAAGGTGAGCAACAGATGAAAGAAAATTTGGGGGAGATATTTGTGAACGACTAAAAGTGTTATTTTTAGTATAGAATTTACTTGATTGGCCTATTTAACTGTGTAGCAGAGGGGATATATGAGAGAATAAAGCAGACAGTAATAGAATAAGAGGCCAGATCTTCCAAAATAGCTGAGTAGCAGAATCTAGTCTGCAGTATTTTTCTATGAGAATGGATTCCAAACATGAAATTCTCAAAACAATTGGTTAGCAATAGCCAAGTTCCTTATGCTCAGGCCTATTTCATAGTGTAGAAAATAAATTCTTGTCAGGTAAGATCATTAATACAGAGTAAAGATAATTTGCACTACAAATAAATAACTTTAGATTAAGCAGTGCAAGTAGAAATAAAGTAGCATTTGCGGTAGGTTTATTTTATCAGCCTATTGTATTTGGTTATATGCCCTAAAGATAAGTTCTGTGGTCCTGCTGATTATGGAAACCCAAGTTCCACATGTGACTGATTTTAACAGAATACAGATATTTTTATTGTTTTTGTTTTTGTTTTGTTTTTTTTTTAAGAAAAATTATGAAATGTGCCCAATGCCAGAAGTCTCTAATGCTCTGTAGGGTAGTGGTAAGTTCAGAATTCTGTGTTTGGCCATCTCATTCTCTCTCCACATTAACGTGCTTAGCAAGTTTACTGAGTCCATGTTACCAGATTCTATTCTGAATAGGCAATACAGTGCTGCAATGAGAGCTTTGAACTCAGAATACCTCGGTTCCTTGGTCAAGTTTCTTAACTTTTCTGAGGCTTGCCTTCTTTATTTTAGAAATGAAGCTGATAATCCTACCTCCTCTAAATCATTGTAAGGATTCCAATGAATGAAAAGCGTAGTTGATATCACAGTGTTAGGCCCTTGTCAGGCATACCCATGTTAGTTTCATTTAATAATCTAGCTCCTCTTCTTTCTAGTTTGGGTGATAGGACTCAAAGTTCACTTTCATGCTCTTGATTCCTGAGTTTCAGTCATACATTTTCCAACATTCTCTTAAGTACATTTGTTTGTTTACTTCACTGTCTTCTCACACCTAGCATATCAGATCTATCTGATCTATCACAAAAGCACGTTCCCCATCAATTGACTTCTTTCAGTGGCAATACAGTTGTTTCAGGCACTCAGGTGGGAATCTGTGTTACCTTTGAATTTTCCTCCTACCTTTTCCCTCTGTCTGCCTCTATCAGATACAACCTCCCCGCCGCCTCCCCATCTCCACACACGGTGTTTTTAAACTGTTGGCTCTCCTATTTTATTTCTGCTGTTGCATCTCAAACCTAGACCTTTGTATTGGTCTCATAAATATTTGCATTTAATTTTCTTTTTACTTCTGTCAAGTTCCATTTCATGTATCCCAGTAAATACCAGGTTTTTTTTGGCTACCTGGTGTTCTGTATCAAATTAAGGAAAAGATGGACAATCCTCTAATTAGGGAGGAAATATCTCCCACAAGTAGTTTGAGAAAAGTATTATTTTAAGTCTGTATACTCTAAGTGTATATACTATAAACACTATAAAATGTTTACTTTAAATTGGAGAGTTGTCACTCCATAACTAATATTTGTTCACTCATAATTTTCTTGTTGCTGATATTAAGGTTGCTATTAAACTTAATTGGAAATGTCATTAGAACATATCTAGAATCTGTATCCTTAAGATAGAACACATCGCTGGAAAAGTTGAGTAAAAAGCATACTGCCTTCTTGGATTGAGAGTCAAGTAAATTGTCTCTGGATTTTTGAATTGTCCTAGAAATGATCGTGTAAAAATTTCATCCTTTTTCTGATACTACTTTTCCTTCAAGTGGCCAAAAGACCATTTTAATTATCTTGTGACTTAAAATTTGGCAGAACCATTCAAATAGTCCCTAAATTAATAGTTGTGTGGAAAATACTATGATTATTGCAAAGTAAAGTAAAATAAAAGATTTATACTTGAATCTAGATATTTAAGGACACAGTTTACATATTAGTAAATGGAAAAAATACATATATATGTATATATATACATATAGTGTATGAGTATCTAAGTGTGAATACACATGCAGACAGATATACCTATGTATATATATAACTGAAAGATGTTACACGTACCAGGCTATGGTGTTTCTACTTTGCTTCTATTTGAATTACTTTGCTGGAAGATTAAACCAAGACGGAAAGGACTTTACCATGGGTATTTTTTTTTTTTTTAAATAAGGCTTTTGTTAAGCAATTTTAAATTCTCAAAAGAAGAGTCAAAAAGGAGTCTATTCATCTTCTTTCCTAAACAGGTAGATTTTATTCATCAGAAAATAAATCCAAAGTGACACCAAAGTCATAGAAAATATGCACATTTTTTTGCAGAGTTGGGTGATTCAGTAGTTATTGAATACATACATTGTGAATGTGTAAAAGCCTATTTTATTTTGGCTGAGATGAAATGCAGTGATTGTTTTTCCGATGCAAGTGGATTTATCAATTTCTGATTGCAGTACATCAGAAGAGAGGAAGACTTACTGGGAATCAGCCAAATGCAAAGTAAAATTGTGGCTGATTAGGTGTTTGTGAGGGTTTTTCAGCTGAGACACTATATCTAGTTAAAATTGTCATTTGCAATGTCATCATGTTTCACCTTACAAGGAAAATTACTCAGAAGAAATGGGGCCGAAGGGCAGTTTAGCTGGGGCCTTTGGCAAAAACAATGTTAGATCAGATTCTAAGAGCAAAAATTGGTGTCAGGTCTACAGTGTTGATGAAGCCCACATTATCTCTTATAGTCACAAATTAGATATAAAAACATTTTGGCATTCTTTGTTAGTTTATTCAATAGTCATTCAAAAGGTACATGTGACTTTCAACGTCATCTGGAATTTTATCTGTGGAAGGGAGCTAAGCACTAAAGGAGTCAACAGTTTATGTTGCTGGGTTCTTGGTACATGGATACTTAACCATATTTTGATTTATTTCAGGTTCTTTGGGGGTCCATGAATGTCCAAACACCAACTTCTTCCAGTCTTTTATGAAAGTAAAATGGGTTAGGATATTTTTAATGTAGGAGGTTTTTGTTGTCTAAGGTAAACTGACATAGGTAGGAGGCTGCTGCTTTAAGATCCCCTTAAAGAAAGGATCAAAATTACACCATAAAGAGTAGAAAAAAAATCTTATCTTAAAAGAACTAAAACAATTTTATTTTCTATTTAAGAAAATCAGGTTACATTTGTAAAAATGAACTTTTTCGTATAATCTTGTGACAGTATATGATAATATGTTGTGACATGCTTCATTTCAAGTGGTCACTTTTGCAAAATAGTTTTAGACATTTTTAGTTTTGTAAAAATATCCTTAATACTTTGATGTTCAAAATATTCTTTTGGACCTCTATTTTGCCATCTTTTATATATATATATATATATATCAAGTAGTGTAATTTTGCCAAGTTCTCATTTGTTGATAGCATTGAGTATGATTTAAGGAGTTTACCAATGTTGATTTGATTAATGATAACCTGTGTTTTGGTAGATGTAACTTAATTTCGTTGTAATTATATTGAATTATCAGAAATTTCCAGCTTTCCATAATCAGCTAGAAACTGACTGATGGTACTGTTGACTACTTAGGCTAAACTCGATATCAGCATTAAAATGGGTAGAGATAGCTGGGTGGAGTCACTTTACAAGTGTTTCGTTTCCCAATGAATCTGTGTGTGTGAAAGGACGACATTTGTTATATATACAGTCTTTTAACTGTGAGCCTCTGGAAATACATACTCAGATGACAAGCACAACCTATACTAAGAGAATACTCTCTACTTGAAAGAAAAATAAAACTTTTTTTTTGTTGTTAGTGACTGGTTGGCATAAAGGAATTTAAAAAATTTAGATTCCTTCTTATGTCTTTTAACAAGAAAGCCTTATAAACATTAAAAACCAGTGCTTTCTTTTGTAAAGTTAAATTGTGTAGGAATTATGCTTGAGAGTCCTTTTAGTCTATTGTGTAAGTTATCATGGAGCCAAATTTTTCATTGTGAATTAATTGAAGTTACTGTTAGCTTTCTCTTCTTTGAGGTTACCAGTGGGTATGGAGTACTTATTACTAGAACCTTTTTCATATTGCAACTCTCAAGAGGATTGTCTGGATGCCCTTTTTGGAATCACTTAAAACAACAGCTATTAACATGGGACATGTTCAGTTCTCTGTTTTCTACTCCTATCATGTGTTTTTGTTCACTACTTAAATAATGATGAACAAGTATTTAGAAAACTAAAGTAATATATTAAATGTACGAAAATAGGAAAATAGTAAAAGGTAGTTTCATAAAATTTCTGATATAAAAATCACTCCAAAAGAGCATAGGCTTTTACCTAAATGAAATAAGACTCAAAAGCGCTAAGAGTCTGAATTGTAGGCTGAGTTCGTGGCTTAGAAATTAATGAATTAATGATGAGAGAGCTTTTTTTCTTTTTCTTTGTATTCCACCTCCCCCGCTGCCCAATCAATGAAGAAGAGAGTTTTCGGAGACAAAACTAACTG